TCCGACTGGATTCGTCTGAAAGAAGAAAGTCATATACACCTAGGATGACTTGAGGGTGAATAATTTATGGGCCAATTTTAATTTTTGGGTGAACTAACCCTTTAAAAGCGCCATTCAAAAACAATGAAAGAAAAACAATTAGTCTTGGGAACTTGTATTAAAAAATACACTGAATAGAGAAAGAGAGTGTGTTTGACCAGTGTAATCCAAAAAAAAATAAAGAATTAAAAAAAAACATTCAGCATTTTGTCAGTCATTTTATGAAAATAAATGAATGAAATATGTTACCAAAAAATGGACAAAAGAGGGGTAAAAAGTAATTTAAATTCCACAAACATACAGTACAATTCTAAAGATTATGAAATTAATACTTTTATTCAGCAAGGATCAAAGTGTCAGTAAAGACATTTATAATGTTACAAAAGTTTTCCATTTTAAACAAATGCTATACTCTTCAGTTCTTCTAAAACTCTTGAAAAATATGCATCACAACAAAAATAATAAGCCGTACAACTACTTTCAACAATGGTAATATAATAAGAAGTGTTTCTTAAGCACCAAATCAGCATATTAGAATGATTTCTGAAGACCATGTGACACTGAAGACTGGAGAAATGGCTGTTGAAAATTTAGCTTTGCCATCACAGGAATAATTAAATTTTAAAATATAATAAAAAAAAGTTATTTAAAATTGTAATAATATTACTTTTATTACTGTATTTTTGGTCAAATAAATGCAGCCTTGTGGAGCATAAGAGACTTCTTTAGAAAAACATAAAAAAAATCTTCAAACTGACTTCAAACTTTTGAACTGTAGTGTAAATTTTGTGGAACCAGAATTGTAGCAGGAACTGTAACCATTAAATTCTTTACAATTTGCAAATTCAATTGTAAAAATGTCTGCAAAAATCACAACATGTCAAGCGAAAACCAAATCAATCCATTATTCCATCATATGAAGACTTCATCTAGCATTCAGACAGGAATAATCATAATGCGCTGGTATTCGAGCTAAATAAATAATGAAGAAAATAATGGAAAACAGGAAACCCTGGACACTCTCCAGGGCAACAAGAGGACTTCAACAGAGGAATGTTGGGGTCTCTACCCAGGGGTCATTATGCTTTGACATTGTCCAGACACAAAGTGGGCCTAATGGTGTGGTCAGGTGGGGTTGGGGTATTTTCAAATCATTAG